CTCATCTCTACAATAAATCAAAAAATCAGCCGGGCGTGGTAGCACATGCCTGTAATTCCGGTTACTCGGAAGGCTGAGGCGGAAGGATCGCCGGAGCCCAGCAGGTCGAGGCTGCGGTGGCCGGAAGTGGCCACTGCACTCTAGTCTGGGCGACAGAGTGAGACTCCAACTCAAAAAAAGAAAAAAAAAGTACTTCAATAAATGTTAGCTAAATTAATGAATAAAAGATTGATCTGAAAATTAGCTGGCTGTAATCCCATGCCTTTGGGAGGCTGAGATGAGTGGTTTGCCTGAGCCCGTGAGTTCGAGACCCGCCTGGGCAACTTGGTAAGACCTCATCTCAACAATAAATAAAAAAATTAGCTGGATGTGGTAGTGCGCACCTGTGCTTCCAGCTACTTGGAAGGCTGAGGTGGAAAGATCACTGGAGCCCAGCAGGTCGAGGTTGCGGTGGCTGGGAGCGGCCACTGCACTCCAGTGTGGGCGACAGAGTGAGATTCCAACTCAAAAAAAAAAGAAAATTAGCCCGGCGTGGTAGCGCGCGCCTCTAGTTCCAGCTACTTGGAAGGTTGAGTGGAAGGATCACTGGAACCCAGCAGGTCGAGGCTGCGGTGGCCAGGAGTGTGCCACTGCTCTCCAGTCTGGGTGTCAGAATGAGATTTCAACTCAAAAAAAAAAAGATTGATCTGTCAGAACATGACAAAACAAGCTTCTACTAATATATTCCCTGTCCCAGACTTGTATTTCACCACAGCTCAAAGGCAGCCAATCTTTCCCATAGCTTTTCAGGCCAGTAGCAAATCTTCCTCTGGGCTTCCCTGAGGGCTGTTTCTCTGAAAGGTCAAGCTTTTCTGGACAATGGAGAAATTCAATCTCAACCTACATCCTCTAAAATAACCTTTCAACATGTAGACTTGTAGTGAGGCTACAGGTTTATTTCTCCTTCTTTATACTATTCTCCATCACCATTTTTATAATCAGAAACACAGCTCCCAGAAACCCTAGTCTTTGGGTTAGAATCAAGGTGCTTGTTGGGCAGCTCCCTATCTGAATTCTTCAATCACCATTAGCAAGATCTAGTCTCACAGAGACCAACATACACCTTATCATGAAAAACCAAGGTTATTTCCCTATGTTTAACATTTTAAAACTGTGTCCCTTTGAGACATGCCAGGAGATATCATAGAGAGGAAGAAAAGCTGAGTGGGGTTCTAAATAGCTCCCAGCCCTCTATCACTCAGCCAGAGCAGCTCTAATTGCAATTACCTTAGAGAAGTCTCCTATAAGGTCCCTTGGGTCATTGTCCAAGATGTTCTCAATGGTTCCTTTTGGGGAAGATACCAGGGATAAAGACTGATGTAGAATCTGTAACAAATGAAAGATGAGAGGAGACTAAAATGTTAATGTTTACATTTAGCAAATAAGAGACTTTTCTTAGTTGATTGAAAAAAAAACACGAGTTGATTAAAAAAAACATGGATTATTTACTAGGTCTATTATTATTTCAGAGTCTAACTAGGTTATTCCGAAACTTAAGTTTCCCTTCCTTATTTCTTTTTTTTTAAAGGGGGTTTAGCTGGGTGTGGTGGCTCATGCCTGTAATCCCAGCACTTTGGGAGGCCAAGGCAAGAGGATTGCCTGAACCTGAGTAACTTGGCAAGACCTCGTCTCTACAAGAAATAAAACAATTAGCCAGTTGTGGTGGTGTGTGCCAGTGGTTCCAGCTACTTGGAAGGCTGAGGTGGAAGGATCGCCTGAGTCCAGCAGGTCAAGGCAGTGGTGGCCGTGAGTGTACCACTACACTCCAACCTGGGCAAATGAGTGAAACTCCTACTCAAAAAAAAAAAAAAAAAGAAAAAAGAAAAACCAAAACAGGGGGGGAGGTGATTAAAGTTAGAGCTGGTTTTAAAAAAATGTATTTCTTAGCTCTAGCCAATGAGGAGCTCTAGGGGTGCAATAACCCCACTCTGTTGCCCAGACTGGAGTGCAGTGGCACACTCCCGGCCATCGCAGCCTCGACCTGTTGGATTCCAGTGATCCTTCTGCCTCAGTCTTCCAAGTAGCTGGAACTACAGACGCGCGCTACCACACACGGCTAATTTTTTGATTTATTGTAGAGATGAGGTCTTGCCAAGTTGCCCAGGCGGGTCTCGAACCCGCGGGCTCAGGCAATCCACTCACCTTAGCCTCCCAAGGCGTGGGATTACAGGCTGAGCCACCAAGTCCGGCTATTTATTTATTTTTGAGTCAAAATCTCACTCTGTTGGAGTGAGTGGCACACTTATGCAGGATTACAGGCTGAGCCACCGAGCCCGGCTCCAATATATATTTCACAAAATACCAGTAATGCTTGAAATTTTCTCCACAAAAGAATTTTAAAATACTAAAGATTAAAATATATGGAAGTAAACCAAAACATAAGGGCCAATAAATACATAAAATAATCATTGACAGCATATTTTCTACAAAAAAAGTTTTATAAATATGGGCATAAACCGGGCTCAGTGGCTCAGCCTATAATCCCAGAGCTTTGGGAGGCTGAGGTGAGTGGATTGCCTAGCCTGTGGGTTGGAGACCTGCCTGGGCAACTTGGCGAGACCTCATCTCTACAATAACTAAAAAAATTAGCCAGGCATGGTAGCGCGCGCCTGTAGTTCCAACTACTTGGAAGGCTGAGGTGGAAGGATCGCTGGAGCCCAGCAGGTCGAGGCTGTGATGGCCGGGAGCGGCTACTGCATGCACTCCAGTCTGGGTGACAGAGTGAGACTCCAACTCAAAAAAAAAAAAAAAAAGGCATAAAAAGGTCAATCACTAGTATAGCAAGAGTAAAAGAAAATGAAGCCGAACTCGGTGGCTCAGCCTGTAATCCCACACTTTGGGAGACTGAGGTGAATAGATTGCCTGAGCCTGAGGGTTCAAGACCCATCTGGGCAACTTGGTGAGACCGCATCTCTACAATAAATCAAAAAATTAGCTGGGCGTGGTAGTGCGCACCTGTAGTTCCAGCTACTCAGAAGGCTTAGGCGGAAGGATTGCTGGAGCCCAGCAGGTCGAGGCTGCGTGGCCAGGAGTGTGCCACTGCACTTGTCTAGGCGACAAAGTGAGACTCCAACTCAAAAAAAAAAAGAAAAGAAAATGAATACTCTTAGATATTAGTAAGATTCATAAACTGGAAAGCAATTTTCTAGCATGTATACAATGCAAAGTTTCATAAATGTTCTCACCCTTTAACCTAGGATTCCACTTTTGTTTTTTGAGTCAGTCTCACTATTGCCCAGGCTACAGGGCAGTGGCACAATCATGACCACCATAGCCTTGATCAGCAGGTCATCCTTCTACTTCAGTCTTCCAAGTAGCTGGAATCATAGGCATGCACCACCACACCTGGCTAATTTTTTTATTTATTGTAGAGATAAGATCTCACCAAGTTGCCTAGGCTGGTCTCAAACCACTGGGCTCAGGCAATCCTTTCGCCTCTGCCTCCCAAAGTGCTGGGATTGCAGGCATGAGCTACCGTGCCTGACAGAATTCTACTCTTTAGTATATGTGCTGAGAAAGCGAGCACAAGAATTCTACTGTTAATTAGAAAAAAAAAGGAAAATCAGGAAAAGGGAAATTCTAAATGTGCAGAAGATGATTTATTCAATTACTTCTAGTATACCTTGAAGATGAAACACCATCAGGCCAGGTGTGGTGGCTAACATCTATAATCCCAGCACTTTGAGAGGCTGAGACGGGAGGATTGTTTTAGCCCAGGAGTTCGAGACCAGCCTAGGCAACATACAGAGACCTTGTCTCTACAAAAAATAATAATAAAAAATTAGCTGGATGTGGTGGCACACGCCTGTAGTTCCAGCTACTTGGAAAGCTGAGGTGGAAGGATCACCTGAGCCCAGCAGGTCGAGGCTGAGGTGACCATGAGCGTACTACTGTCCTCCAGCCTGGGCAACAGAGTGAGACTCCAACTCAAAAAAATAAAATAGCCAGGCTTGGTGGCTCAGCCTGTAATCCCGCGCCTTTGGGAGGCTGAGGTGAGTGGATTGCCTGAGCCCACAGGTTCGAGACCCGCCTGGGCAGTGAGACCTCATCTCTACAATAAATCAAAAAATAAGCCAGGTGTGGTAGCGCATGCCTGTAATTCCGGCTACTTGGAAAGCTGAGGTGGAAGGATCGCCGGAGCCCAGCAGGTCGAGGCTGCGGTGGCCAGGAGCGGCCACTGCACTCCAGTCTGGGCAACAGAGTGAGACTCCAACTCAAAATAAATAAATAAAAAAAATAAAATAAAATACAAATACAGGTGAAACCTTTATGAAATTCATTTATTAGGCCACATACGTCTGGATTAAAGAAATACAGAAGGTTGGGTGTGGTGGCTCACGTCTATAATCCTAGTACTTTGGGAGGCCACGGTGAAAGGATTGCCTGAGCTCAGCCTGGGCAACTTGACAAGACCTCATCTCTACAATAGAAAAAAAAAATTTAGCTGGGCATGGTGGCACATGCCTGTAGTTCCAGCTACTTGGAAGGGCTACAGAGTAAGACTGGGCTACAGAGTAAGACTCTGACCCCCAAAAATAAATAAATAAATAAAATAAAGTACCTACAACTAAATAACAATAAAAACAAAATAAGGCTAAAGCAGTGAGAATTCCAAAGATTTAAATAGACTTATTTGGAAACAAGATTAAAAACAAATGAGTTAAGCATTCGACTCATGAAGCTGGAAATAGCAAGCCCTAAGAAAAGCCTGCCCTCTCAAGGCAGAAAACTTTCTTTTTTTGAGTCAGAGTCTAACTCTGTCTCCCAGGTTGGCGTGCAGTGTCATGTTCACAGTCACTCCAGCGTTGACCTGCTGGGCTCTGGCAATCCCTCCACTTCAGCTAACCAAGTAGTTGGGACTACAGGTATGCACCACCATGCCCAGGTAAATTTTTTTGATTTATTGTGGAGATGAGGTCTCGCCAAGTTGCCCAGGCTGGTCTTGAATCCGTGGGCTCCAGCCTGGGCAACAGAGTGGGCAATCCTCTCACCTCAGTCTCCCAAAGTACTGGTATTATAGGAGTGAGCCTCAGAAAATTTACAATCACCACTCTACTCTAGCCATAGTGAAGTGCCTGAATCTTCATGCCACTAGGATAAAGTGCTGAAATTCTACTCTGCCTCCAACTGAGGTGTCAGTGGAGGTTATGCTGGGGAGCCTGGACTTCTGCCCCAACGTCTCTGCAGTATCACAGGAGGCCTGCTAAACAGAAGATTTGAGATTAGAGTCTCCTAAGAAAATACCTAAAATATACAGGATACAAAAATCTCAACTGGAATAGGAAGACAATCAGCAAATGCCAACACCAGGAACAGATGTTGGAATTATCTGACAAGGATTTTAAAGCAGCCTTCTTAAAAACACTTCATGGCTGGGCATGGTGGCTCATGCCTGTAAACTTAGCGCTTTGGGAGGACAAAGTGGGAGAACTGCTTGAGCCCAGGAGTTTGCGACCAGTCTAGGCAACATAGCAAGAAAAACTAGCCAGGTGTGGTGGCATACACCTGTAGGCCCAACTACTAAGGAGGCTGAGGTGGAAGGATCGCCTGAGCCCAGAGGTTGTGGCTACAGTGAGCTGTGATCTTGCCACTGCATACCAGCCTGCACAACAGAGTGGGAGCCTAACTCCAAAACAAAACAAAACACACACTTCAACAGGCAATTCTGAGCACATTTAAAACAGATGAAAAAGCTGGGCTCGGTGGCTCAGCCTGTAATCCTGCGCCTTTGGGAGGCTGAGTTGAGTGGATTGCCTGAGGCCGCGGGTTTGAGACCCGCCTGGGCAACTTGGCAAGACCTCATCTCTACAATAAATCAAAATTAGCCAGGCGTGGTAGCGTACACCTGTAATTCCAGCTACCTGGAAGGTTGAGGTGGAAGGATCGCCGGAGCCCAGCAGGTTGAGGCTGCGGTGGCCGGGAGCGTGCCACTGCATTCTAGTCTGGGTGACAGAGTGAGACTCCAACTCAAAAAAAAAAAGATGAAAAACAACAGAAAAACAGCAAGTTTCAGCAAAGAAAATTAACACAAAATGGAAATCTTAGACCTCAAAAATACAGTATCTCTCCTAGAGCAAATAGGAATCTGTAAAACTAACCTCCTGGGCCTTCTCTGGACTAGCTGCTTCTTTGGGGCTGGCTCCAGCTATGCTTTTCCTCCGCTTTGGATTTCCTGGTGAAGACTCCTCTTGTGATCGTTCTGTTCTCTTTAACGTTAACCGAGTGGTGGGGTTACACAGGGAAGGGGAGTCAAACAGCTTACTTCGGTTGCCCTTAGAGGAAAAAAAAGACAGATCCATTTTACATTAAAACCTGCTCACTTGAATGGTAACACAAATAGACCAACGGCTTCCTGGGATGGTTTAAAATCAGTCCTAAGTCGGGCACAGTGGCTCACACCTGCAATCCCAGAACTTTGGGAGGTGCAGATGAGAGGATTGCCTGAGCCCAGGGATTCAAGACCAGCCAGGGCAACTTGGCGAGACCTCCTCTCTGCAATGAATCAAAAAATTAGCTGGGCGTGGTGGTACATGCCTGTAGTTAGTTACTTGGAAGGCTGAGGTGGAAAGATTGCCTGGGCACAGCAGATTGAAGCTGTGGTGGCTGTGAGTGTGCCACTGTACTCCAACCTGGGTGACAGAGTGAGACTCCTACTCAAAAAATAAAATTAAAATAAAATCAGTCTTAAATTAGGAAACACACACTGCTAATTCATTCAGGCCCAGCAGCTCTCATAGAGCCTGGCACACAATAGGAACTAAACAGTGCTTGATGAATATGTACTCAGCTGACATTATATAGAGATGACCAAAATAAAACATTTTTTGTAGCCGGGCTCGGTGGCTCAGCCTGTAATCTCGTGCTTTGGGAGGCTGAGGTGAGTGGATTGCCTGAGCCCGCGGGTTCGGGACCCGCCTGGGCAACGTGGCGAGACCTCATCTCTACAATAAATCAAAAAAATTAGCCCTGTGTGGCAGCGTGCGCCTGTAGTTCCAGTTACTTGGAAGGTTGAGGCGGAAGGATCGCCGGAGCCCAGCAGGTTGAGGCTGCAGTGGCCAGGAGCAGCCACTGCACTCCAGTTTGGGTGACAGAGTGAGACTCCAACTCAACAATAACAAAAACATCTTTTGTCTTCAAAAGCTTACTGTATACACATAAAAGTCAAGAGAAGTAACTGTCACCTTTCAGTAAGTGATGCTGCACTTTTGGCTTGTCTCTTCCTCTCCATTTTATTACTTGCACCTTGCTTGAGCAGCTCTACAGGCTTAATACCCCATCTAAATCCAGAAAATATCTAAAGTAGCTAGATTATACTATAAAACAGAGGCAATCAAGTTATTAAAAGGGTATATTTGGGCTAGGCACGGTGACTCACACCTGTAATCCCAACACTTTGGGAGGTGAGGGGTGAGAGGATTGCTTGAGTCCAGGGCTTCGACACCAGCCTGGGCAACTTGGCAAGACCTCATTTCTTTAAAAAAAAAAAAGCCAGGTGAGGTGGCATGCGCCTATGGCTCTAATTAGTTGGAAGGTTGAGGTAGAAGGAGCCCAGCAGGTTATGGTTGAGGTGACTGTGAGCATGCCACTGCACTCCAGCCTGGACAAGAGAATGGACTCCTACTCAAAAAAAGAAGGTATGCCAGGCTCGGCAGCTCAGCCTGTAATCCCGCGTTTTGGGAGTCTGAGGTGAGTGAATTGCCTGAGCCCGCGGGTTCGAGACCCATCTGGGCAACTTGGCAAGACCTCATCTCTACAATAAATCAAAAAATCAGCTGGGCATGGTA